CTAATAAATATAAAAAAGAAACTAATAAACAAAAATAATATAATTATTATAACTAAATATAAACCTTCTAAAAATATACTTATCAATGTAATCGAACTGAGTTGTTAAACGCTTGTTAGTTTTTTGTTCTTATTAATTTTATGTGTAAATTTGAAGGGATAGACAATAGTTATTTGTACATTTATACATATAGATTAGAAAAAAATCTTTATTATTCTAATTTTATATAACTTTTTTATTTACTATATTAGTTTTCTTAATATTTTTTATTTTTTTTTATTAGTTTTCTTAATATAATATATAAGTATCGTATTGAACAGATAAAATAAAAAATATTTTAATTATATAATATTTAATATGTAAGAATTGTAACTCAATTGGTAAATTAATAGGCAATCTTGGGATAAAATAATGAGTGATTTATAAAAAAAAATTATAGGAACTAAAAAGTTCACGTGTTTAATATATTTTTAATAGAAAAACTGTAAACACAATTACTCAATAAATACTACATAAAAAATATAAGAAATCTTATATCCTCCCTACATGTAATTAAAAAACATAACTTTTCTCAATTCAACATAAGCAAATCAATGAAAATAATACATTTTTAAAAATTTTATGAACAAAAGTTGACTCGACAATATTATTAATGAATTTATAAATTGTAAATATTTAATTAAATTATTAATTAAAAAATTATAATTAAATATAATATAATATAAGATATACAAATATTTGATATATAATGAGGCAGATGATCGAAAAAAAATCTATACTTTATATTATGTGTTTTTTGACAAATCTACAGTTAAGAACACGTGAAAGAACATGATAAAGTTTTAAAAGAATATAAAATATACGAAATAATATGAAAAATAACTAAGTTGTGACACATACTAATATATAAAAGAAACTAATAAACAAAAATAATATAATTAATATAAATAAATATAAACCTTCTAAAAATATACTTATCGATGTAATCGAACTGAGTTGTTAAACGCTTGTTAGTTTTTTGTTCTTACTAATTTTATGTGTAAATTTGAAGTGATAGACAATAGTTATTTGTACATTTATACATATAGATTAGAAAAAAAATCTTTATTAATCTAATTTTATATAACTTTTTTATTTACTATATTAGTTTTCTTTTTTGACTGGAACTATATTAGTTTTCTTAATATAATATATAAGTATCATATTGAACAGATAAAACAAGAAATATTTTAATTATATAATATTTAATATGTAAGAATTGTAAGTCGATTGGAAAATTAATAGATAATCTTGGGATAAAATAATGAGTGATTTATGAAAAAAAATTATGGGAACTAAAAAGTTCACGTGTTTAATATATTTTTAATAGAAAAATTGTAAACACAATTACTCAATAAATACTACATAAAAATATAAGAAATCTTATATCCTCTCTATATGTAATTAAAAAACATAACTTTTCTCAATTCAACATAAGCAAAACAATGAAAATAATATATTTTTAAAAATTTTATGAACAAAAGTTGACTCGACAATATTATTAATGAATTTATGAATTGTAAATATTTAATTAAAATATTAATTAAAAAATAATAATTAAATATAATATAATATAGGATATACAAATATTTGATATATAATGAGGCAGATGATCGAAAAAATTCTCTACTTTATATTATATCTTTTTTGACAAATCTACTGTTAAGAACATGTGAAAGAACAAGATAAAGGTTTAAAAAAATATTAAATATAAGAAATAATATGAATAATAACTAAGTCGTGACACGTACTAATAAATATAAAACAAACTAATAAACAAAAATAATATAATTAATATAACTAAATATAAACCTTCTAAAAATATACTTATCGATGTAATCGAACTGAGTTGTTAAACGTTTGTTAGTTTTTTGTTCTTATTAATTTTATATGTAAATTTGAGGTGATAGACAATAGTTATTTGTACATTTATACTTGTAGATTAGAAAAAAAAAATCTTTATTATTCTAATTTTAAATAATTTTTTTATTTACTATATTAGTATTTTTAATATAATATATAAGTATCATATTGAATAGATAAAACAAGAAATATTTTAATTATATAATATTTAATATGTAAGAAATGTAACTCAATTGGTAAATTAATAGGTAATCTTGGGATAAAATAATGAGTGATTTCTGAAAAAAAATAAAAAAATTATAGAAACTAAAAAGTTCACGTGTTTAATATATTTTTAATAGAAAAATAGTAAACACAATTACTCAATAAATACTACATAAAAAATATAAGAAATCTTATATCCTCCCTATATATAATTAAAAGACATAACTTTTCTCAATTCAACATAAGCAAAATCTTTGTGTTTTTTTTTTTTATTAGGAATTTGTTTTTTTATATATATTTTTGTTGGGGTTTGTAAAACTTTGTTTCACAATTTTTATATGAGGACATCATTATGTTAATTCTAAATAACAAAAAAAAATCACATATGAGTTCATTTTTTCTATATTTTACTTCTTTTATGCAATGAGATGTTTAATAAATAAATTAATTTATTTTACAAACTTGCTCCGCGAAAGTATTCGATACCACGTGCATCGCACGTGCACTTTACTAGTTTACTTAAATGATGCAAGGATTAACTGCAGCCAATACTGTTAGAATGCTCAATGGAAAGCCATGACCTTATCTACCGGTACCAGATGACACACTAAAGTTACAAGGACACGCATATTTTAAGAGTCTCTTCTTAATGGATGCTCATAATGTAACTCCAAATTACGAGATCAGTGAAGAAAAGTGAAGAAAAAATACTGGTATAAGAGGTCGCCAAATCTACCCATAATCTCATCACTCCTTTGAAGAAACATAGAAAATTAATTAGCAAAAGATGATTAGTCATTACCATAAAAAAGTTCACAAATTTTCTTCCTTAGCATGTAGTAAAGACTTCGGAATGAATCTTCCCATGCCTGCTGCCGTTTGCTTATGAAGTCTGTTTTCCCTTGATCAATAATAAACAATATTTAAAAGTAGGGAAAAGTAGAGAAAGAAGTATGAAAATATATAAAAAGAAGGTGAGAGAATTTTAAAAGAAAATACCTCCTGGCGCAGATGCCAATGCTGATATAGCTGCCTGAGGTAAAATGGACAGAGGATATATCCATGAACCGGATTGGCTTGTAAAGGCAGGTTCTGATGAGCAGGCAACACCTGGAATTTGACAACCAACGGTTGAAAATAGATCCTTACTTTTTGAGGTGACATTAATTAACCTATGAAACCTGTAAACCATGAACATGAAGAAAAATGACTGAACACACAAGTTGGCATCTAGGTAAATAAGCACAGTACTAAAACAATTATACAATTTGAATGACATCAAGTGGATAAAATAAGCACTTCAAGTGATTGGACTCCAATAAAAAAATTGAACTTCTAAATTATAAATATTATATTCCACAAGAATTTTGCTGTCATGTCGAATGCATGCTTTAAAATATTTCATAAATTCTTCTCACTCTAATCAAAGTTTCATCTTTCTCAAAGCACATTAAAATACAAAAGTGATTCTGAAATCTAGTTGTAACAGACATCCATCAGACCCTCTCTTTAAGGCTCATTCATTCTCTACATCTATTGCATTAAGCTTATCAAAGTGGCTAACTGATATATGGAAGAAACACTGTAGAAATTTCCTAGTCAATGGATGTTTTTAAAGGCATATTTTGTTCCATTATAAAAGAAATTAAAAACTTAATATGGTAAAAAAAATCGAAAGGAAAGCATCTTACAAACATCATCTGATCCAATTTATAACAAGCTTGGCCGCTTGGGTAAAGGTAGAAATTTCGTGGTCCATGGGTGTTTTTATGAACACATTTTTTTCTACTAAAAATGGAAATAAAAAATTTATAATGGTAAAAAAAATCTAAAGGAAAGTATCCATAATATAATAAATCCAATTTGTGACAGGCTTGGCCACTTGGGTGTCAGGATGTGAGTGTTGCACATCATAATATATAAATTGACAGCACAGCATACAAAATATCACAGAATCATGAAAGAGAATTATTGTTAGCATGTCACAACACATAACCACAAAGGGAAAAGTCCTAAATTATCTCAATGTAGCACAGAGAAGTGTTGC